GGCACAAAGTAAATCTTTCCCTACTAGTTCATATAGTTTCATATACTTTATCTTTTAGTTCTTATAGTTTAAAATAAATGTTTTTAGTCTCTACTTATCTTTTTCAAGTTTTAAGTCCTATAATTTAAGATAGATCTTTTTAATTCTTTTACTAGCAATGTTTTAATCATTTTAATCCCCGACAATATTATTTTTTATCATTATTTTTTGTGTGCTGATGTGATAGAGAAATTAATTCATTTTTTTGTGTCTCATGTCGAATCAACTTTTATATATTAAACATGAATCTTTATCTCGTACAAGAATTTTTTAGAGACTTTTCTTCAATAAGAGAGTTTATAAGAATTTTTTAACTTATTATCTAATTTAATTTTTTTTATTTATCATAATGATTATGTATTAAATATTAATATTTTAAAATAATTTATCAATAACTTTTTTGTTACAATATAAATTATTTATCATAAATATATAATATAATTTATATGTTTAAAAATATTTATTCATAATAACTTTAAATATAATTTATATATTCAAACATAACAGTCATTTATATAATTTATTATAAATTTTAATTATATATAATAAAATATGTATGTGCATTGTACAAGTTAAAATTCTAATTTATTTTGACGTAATTATTTTAAATTAGATCTCTTGAAACTTCGTATTTTTTTTACCTTCATCTATAATGTCATTATTGAACATATTTTTTATAGGTAATATTAAAAAACACTAAAAGGATTAAAAAATTACAAAGAATTACAAAGATCATTCACTCAAAGAATTTGAACATATGCATAAGATAGCTTTTTTTTTTTTTTTTTCCATCTCGTATGAAAAGACATTTTATTAAAAAAAAATTGATTCACTTTCTTTTTAGTTCCGAAATTGAAGGTCTTCTATATATATAGGCACGGACGGATCTATGTTCTGTATAGTGGGGACACTTGCCCCACTATCATTTGATACACACATATTTTTTTTATTTAAAAAATAATATATTTTAAAAATAAATATTATATTTTAATAAAATAAACATATATGTTTAAATTATCATATGTATAAAATATAAATTTGGAGGAGATATTTATTTATTTGATGTTTGTCAAACTTTTGAAAGAGACTAATTCTCTTATGTGATAAAGAATATTCCTTAATACTCACATATATCCCCTAAAAAAATACTCACATATATAATGTAATATGTTAAAAAAATCAATTTTTGATAAAATAAAATTTGTAACATGCATGTTTATCTTTTGTGTTTTTTATTTATTATATATGTCGATTAAAAAATCAAAATAGTAAGATTATATATGTTGATTAAAAAAATCAAATAAGAAAGATTAGAAGATTTATATTCTATTTAGAATTTTTATTATTAAATATATTTTAAAATAAATTATCATCTAAAAATATATATTAGATATTAAAAACATGTTTATATTATAAATAAATTAAACTTAATTTTTATAAAATTTAACATATTTATTTTTATGTTTTTATTAGTGTTAAATTATTATAAAGTAGATCTTTAGAATTGTAATTCTAACAAAATATTAAGAAAAAATGTTTATGGCTGATAAATTATAATATAATCTAGTCAGACTTAATTTATTTTCATCTTTAATTATAATCGTAGATATAAAACCTTGTAAAAAATAATTATGATATATTTATACTTTTAAAAATTATATATAAAATTTTTAATACTATAAATATATAAATAAATATTGCCCCACTATTTAAATTTTTTAGATTAATCAGAAAAACATATATTAGAAGACTGGTAAATTAGGGGGGACAAAGCATTTTGTTGTAGGTTTGCTTCTTTTTTCGCCTCGCAAAGAGATACAATAGACACTTTTGTTCTTTTGTACAATTGTTTTTCACGTGTGAGTTTGCACATCGACCTTTTTGGTTAAACACTTATATATATATATATATATATATATATAATATAAATTTTTTTTATAAGTAAAAGAGATTTAAATTAAAGGGAGTACAAGGGGTACTCCAACCCGTTATAAGAGACACAAAGACATAATTAGAATCAAAGTTATAATAGAAACTATGAGAAATATAAACTCGGGTTATAATACCAACTTGTGTAACTAAAAGAACAACCAAGGACAGAACTACTAATTCACTTCTATGAACGCAATTTAATATTGTCCAACACTTCCTTGTAATCTGTAGTACCTTACTGAAAGATAATAACATTTCGATAGAGGCATAGTGACCAGATAACAGAAACCTAGACCACCCGCAAAAAGTGAGAATGTTTTATATATATATATAAATATTATATATATAAATTTGTCTCCTTTTTATGTAACATAAAGACTTTTTTTAATGCATAAAACGAAATAACAAATACCATTTCTTTTAAGATGTGTATATGTTATTTGCACAAATAAAAATGTATTAAAATATTCATACATTTTTCGAGTTTATCATATTGGCCATGATTTCATAAAATAAGCATTTTCAAACACTTGAATTATAACGCGAATAAAATACTTGGTTGTTAATAACCATTGGATGGTCTAGGAAAACTTTCATAGAACACTTCGATATTTTTTCAAGAAAGTTTTGGATAGATTTTTTTTAATCAAAGTTTTTATTATTAATATCATTGTTATTATCAAAACTCCAATAAAAATAAAGACTTTTATGGCTTTGGTTCCCATACAACATAATTAGTTGATAGTATAAACATATTTTACACTATAGATGTATATTCATTAAACTCTTAAATTAAACTAATCAAAATTGGAAGTATTCCTAAATTTATGTTTTGTTTATATTAAAAGTGAAATATAAAGGAAAAGAATTGGAAAGAAAGAAATAAGAATGATAAAAGAAAATTGATATTTGAATGGACAAAAATAGAAATGAAAGTAATAAAATAAATTTTCTATATTTAATTGGATGAGTATTTTAGATAACATGATTGTATTTCAAGTCCGTTAATGTATTAAAGAAAAACATGACAGAGAGGAGAGATGTCACTAAAATATTCTTAATCACTAATATGATGTTATTCTTTAACGACTTATATATTTATTAAATAATTATCTTAAATAGTACAAGAATTAATGTTTCTCAAGTCACGGAAGGATAACATTGCATGTTTTTAAAAATATTTAATTATACTTTTAATCTTTTGATTTTAGAGTACATATATTTTTAGCCTTTCAAATTTAAAATGTGTTTTTAATTTTCAAACTGTCAAAAATAATTATTTTGATTCCTCAAATTAAAAATTTATCTTTAGTCTCTGATTTTAAAAATAATATTTTAGCCACTAATATCATAACTGATAGCGATAAATTGAAAGAGATTAAAATAATATATTATTATTATTTTTTATATTTTAGAGACTAAAAATACAAGTTTTGGGTTCATTTCATTTTTGTGTTTTCCTTGTTTCATTTTCTCAAATATATATATATATATTTCGTAAGTGATTATCTTACAACCAGGGCAAAATTAGCAAACTCATGGTTGTTTCTTCTCTCTTCTTCGAGTCTTTTATTAAGCATCAGATGGAAATAAAGAATTGCCTGGTACAAACAATTCTATCTTTGCACTCAAAATATTTCATAGCTGCAGCAATAGTCATGGTTATAATAAATGCTTGCGATTTTTTTGGAACATTTCAATCAGAACTTAATTCAAGACTTCTAATGATATGTCTAATATCAAGCATTATTATTTTTTCTACCCATTCTAAACTTGTACAAACCTTCATCAGTCTCCCCTTTCAAGTACAGCAGCAGCTCCCATACCTGACCCTGAAATCATGCACATTTCAATAATCTTAGAGGAAACAAATTACGCTCTAAACTCTCGCATGCATGCACAATTTATCTGTTTGTTTTCTTGTGGTGTTTACTCACACTGTTTTATTTCTGCTCCAGTTTTAATTTTATTAACCTATTCAGCAAGCTACTTTATTGACTACTAGTGTCTCTTGTTTAGCCATCTTCTGTGTTAGCTATATATCTACCATCCTTCTACTAGATTATTTAATCTAATGATGACTCATAATTAAAGAATGACTTTTAATGAGAAAGATGTTTAATATAATGTTAAGAAATTATACAACCATGAGTAATTTTATATATTAAGTTCATTATATGAGAAAATTATACTCTAGGAATCTTAGATAATATATTTCTCATTATTATTATATTAAGTAATTTCTATGAAAAAATTTAGAAAATATATCCCAATCCATAATGCATTCAGAATTTTCTAATAGTAATTTTCTCTTTTCATACTTCCCTTACTTGGTCTCTAAAGGTTATCCTTTTGTAAAATCAATTCTCTAACTTCCGTAACTATTTTTTTAAAATTATTTATCTTTAATGTCAAAATTACCCTTAATGAAATGAGAAGAGAAGAAATTAATTCTAATAACTTAAACATACTAAACATATTTTTATTAAAATCATTCCTTAATTATGAGTCATTATTAGATTAAATAATTTAACAGCTACTAGTTTCAATTACAAACAACTACAGTAAAATTTGCCATTTTTCCCTGCAAACCTTGAAAAGAATCTTAAAATTTATCCCCCAGCATTCCAATCATATGCATTTGCAACAACTAAATTTGACTTCATATAAATAAAGACTATATACACTTCACATTTTACTTATAATTTTTCTCAAATAGTATTCAACTGTTTTACAGGTATGTGTGAGATGGAGAGAGTCCAAAAGAAGAAATCACCTATGCACATTGAGATTACACCAAAGCGACAATCCTTGCCACGTCGTTTCATCTCATTCAACAAAGTTGCAACACAGCGTGCACCTGACACGAATTGGTAGCATGTAAATTCAACAACAAAGTCAGCATTAGGTTCATGATAGATTAACAGAATTAATCTACATGAGTAAACATGTTATAGTAATATTAACATGTTACAGTAACATAAACATGATACAGTAATACAAATATTTCTGAAAATTTTAGCTTTTCTTCTTCCACTTAATAAGAAAATAATAAGGGAAAGCAAGATAAATTTCTAACTTGAAACATCTCAAAATCACCTGTAGCACCCAGAGGATGTCCAAGAGCAATGGCACCACCATTGACATTGACCTTTCTGGGATCAAGTGCCAATTTCTTGCAGGAATAAACATACTGAGATGCAAATGCCTGCAGCAGACCATAATATTGCCAAATGCTCAGTACAAGATTACTTGAAGTTGAAGTTAGACTTTGCTGTGGAAATATATGCAATAAAAAGTAGTTCTTGATTATAATGACTTCTAAAACCTTTACCTCATTGATTTCAAATAAGTCAATGTTGCCAAGCTCAAGACCAGCAGATTTCACTGCAGCTGGGATTGCAAAAGCCGGGCCAACACCCATGACTGAAGGATCTACTCCAACAGCGGCAAAACTCCTGAAAAGTTAAATTCACTTGTGAGATAAATTTCAAAATTTCAAATTAAAAACATATGCTAGATTTCATCTTAAAAACCAATTGACACTAACTGAAGTTGTCCACCAAATATATAAGTTGCACTTAAGAATTGAGGCAGGTTATATAAAATTTTCCAACACACGCTCTCCACATAGATGGATTATAGACTATGATACTATGTTAAATTTCATCTATAAATCAATCAACATTAAGTGAAGTTACCCAATAAATATATAAAAAATAATGAGTCAGGTCGTATTAGAAGCCTGATTTCAATTTAGGTCCATGTTTGAATAGATTTCCAAGTAATTATGAGTTACAGATTTCAAATATCCTTTCAGCATATAATGCTGTAATATAAAAAATGTGAAGCACATGGTTTCAAGATTTGATTATCCTTTATTAAAGCAACTTTTTCAGACAAATTACCTAATAAGTATCTCCTTTATATAATTAGGAATATTTCTCAATGTAAATAGCTTTTTCAGCAGGATGCCAAATATATGTATTCATTGTACAGTAGTCCTGCATCTGCATGCCTATTTGTTACTTTCATGTTGAAATACCTAAAACATACTTTCAGGAAACCGATTTCATTTCTAAGACTTTCTTGGAATTTGTCGTTAATTCAAATTACTAGTTCAAAGTGCAGCTTCTATAGAGACATTGAGAGTCTATTTAAATAAACTTCTCCAGTAGCACTTATAGGTGAAAAAAATAGGTGGAATATCGAAAATGAGTTTTTATATACGTTAAACTAATTTTTTGTAATTTATAAGATGCTCGAGAAACTAATAAGAAAAGGTTTTTACAAATTAGCTTATGAAAAAAATTATTTATTTTTTTCTCCTATTTTTCTTTCTTTGAAGTACTTGCAGAGAAATTTATCCAAACAGGTCCGAGTTTGGATATAACTAAAAGAAATCATGTACTTCAGGGCTAAGAGCAGGTGGTGTGCATATTATAGGATGCCTGCTGGTTTCTGTCTAGATTCACATCTGAAGTGACTTGTATTTAAGAACAATTTTTTTGATTATGCATTATTATTGTGTACCTAAAGATTCCAAGAATGGGAAGCCCCCTTTGCACAGCCACTCTTCTCTTCATGAGGAGCACAGCTGCTGCACCATCACTAACTTGGCTAGCATTCCCTGAAATTGAAAAAAGACAGATCCAAAACAAGCATATTCACAAGGTAGAAGATTTCCCCAGAGTAACAAAATTAACAAATAAGATTTCTTTAGTACCTGCTGTTGTGGACCCATCTTTCTTGAATGCAGGCTTCAGCTTAGCCAAATCCGGTAAATTTGTGTTTGGTCGGATACCGTCATCGACAGAAACAACAATTTTCTTCTCCACTCCAGTTTTAGGGTCTACAATCTTCAGAAACAAATAATTAGTAGTATAAAAATTTTAATACTGCAGGGAAATTCATTATAACAGTTCATGGTTGGTACTAACCTTGGTAGAAACCGGAATGATTTCTTCTTTGAATTTACCAGCTGCTATTGCAGCTGCAGCACGCTTGTGAGACTCAACCTATTTATACAAATTAAAAGTTTATGCATATACTAATAATCTTTTCATATATACAGTTGGAGATCTCACATTAACTACTAATAAGATCATATAATCCTCACCTTACAAATCGTTTTAATAAGGTTGAATTAGGCTCAAACTTACTTTCTTAAGATATACTTAGCATATTAAATACTTTTGTGTCATACTTACAGCAGCCTGGTCTTGCTCTAGCCTTGTCACACCGTAATGCTGTGCTACATTCTCAGAAGTGATTCCCATTGGAAGAAGACAATCCCGGGCTTGTGCAAAGGTTTCTACCTATTGATATAATGAAAACTCAAGCCAAATATGTCTCAAAGGAAAATGTGAACATAAAAATGTACCACTTGAATGTACCTTTGGGTTAATTTTGCGAACCCTTGAAATATGATCAAGTGTCATACACTCCAATCCAGCCCCAATACCTGTGTCAAATATTAGGAACATTAGTCCGAAGAAATAACAAGGCCATGGCATTTTAGTAGAGTCTAGATTCATTCTGACCAATGTCATAGAACCCTGCTTTTATATAAGCAGCTACATCAGCAACTGCCTGAAGTCCAGATGAACATTGCCTATTGACAGTTCGAAGTGGCACAGTCTCTGGTTGAAAATTGAAGAAGATCCATCAACATCATACCATATATTAGAAATTGCATTAAAATATATTGGTAACATGAGGGGGATTAAAACATCAGGGAAAACTCCATCAATGAACTATGAGCAAATCACATAAGTTTATAGATCTTTCTCACTTACATATTACTTAAGATGCTCAGTTCTATATTAGGAATATAACACTTGTACTCTTTGTTATTTTGTTAGTATGAAAGCTGTACCTTTAGTATGACAGCTGTGTTTTTGTTTCCAATACTTAGCTACATTTTTTTTGTATTTAGCTTCCTATATAAGCTTTCTTTGTACACCGAAATGTAACGAGAAATATTTTCTCAGTCTTAATATGGTATCAAAGCCTGATTGAAGGTAATGTGGCAGCAAAAGTCAAGAATCCAAAAGATCTCAATGATTGATAGTCAGGTTTTGAATCATGGAGAACCTGATACTTGTTATGCAAAACAGGGGAAGGAAGACGACTAAACAAAAAAGCAGCTGTGACAACACATTCACCTCAGAAAGATATGGGGACTTTAGACTGAAAATACAATGCTCTTGCAACATTGAGCAAATGTTGATGCTTCCTTTCAACAACAGAATTCTGCTCTGGTGGAATTCCTAATACTCTATTCAATGTGAGACTCTCGTTCACATACTTGTACACCAACAAAATATACACTAACTAACATAACCAATAATCATATGAAGTCACCTCATGAGCACTTCTACATTCAGTGAAGTCAATCAGCAATTTCATATAAATCATGCTCAATGAAGACTACAAAATGTACCTGGGAAACCTGCATAGAAAGCAGCCATTCTGCACTCAATTGCTCTTTCTGATCCAGGAGCCAGTACTGTACCCACAACTATGTCTCCAACTTCTCCTGGGTCCACATTTGTTTTCTCTATTACAGCCTATACAAGAACTCAGTTTAGAAACTACAGAGGAAAAAAAGAAAAGAAAGGAAATAGACCACTGATCAACAAAAGTAGCTCAAAACATTTCAAGGTTGAGACATGTTCCAATCATAAACCATTATAAATGTTCACTAAACCATTTTTTATACTCGGTAATTTTATTTACAATCTTTTTTCTATTAACCAATTAATTAAACAAAGAATTACCTTCAGAACTGTGGCAAGGAGGTCATCTGGAAGGGTATCCTTAAAGCCCCCACGCTTTGCTTTGCAAATGGCAGTACGATATGCACTAGTTATTGCAGAGAAATTAAAGCTAAAGGTTAAATAATGTCATTAACAAAATCAATGAATAGATAGTGGAATTAGTCCCTGAATGATATTCAATTAGCCAAACTAGTCCAAGTCTTTGAATGATAGTAGAAGCAAAATTAATTATAGATTTATTCAATTATTCATGAATCTGTATTTCCTCAATGAAACTAATCTTTGACCTTAGGGACTAATTTGTCAGTCAAAATACACAATCAGTAATTTGTGGACCATATGTATATCAGAGACCGTGGATGTAATATTTTTCATCTTCTAAGTAGGGGTGTCAAACTCAATTTAATATGATTATTTATTTAAATTTGAATTCAATGCGATTAAGACCCGAAAATAAATGCTATATGATAAAGTCACCCTATATTTTGAGTCTATTCAACATATATCTTATATTTGAGACAATTTTGTGTATGACTACTATAACTAACCAATTTGTTGACATAATCTATGAATCTTAACATTATATAGTTAAATAGTTAAATTATAAAAATTTAAGAAATATACAACTATAACTAAGGTATATCTCAAGATAATAATATTAATATAAATATAATATCATATTATTTAAAATATTATCTAGTAAGACAATAAATTATGTTATTAAAATATTTTTTTTCTTCAAAGAATATATGACATTAAATCAGGTTGAGCATCCAAAGTATATCCACTAATCTAAATACGTGAATTTAATCTCTTAAACTCCAACCCATCAAAATACTGGTTCATGGAACAGACAAGAGATGAACATTCCTCCTTGTAAGAACCAACATTATATTTGAAGTAGTGATTTGATTATTACTGCAAATAACGAATTAGAAATGACAGAATAGGATCATTTATATAGGCGAACTTACGCTACAATCACCACGTCATCTTCTGATACACCTGATTCTCCATGTGAACAACTCCCAGCAAAACAAAATGAAGCCTGACAAGAATTTTGTAAATTTTCAATACATTTCAACAGATAAATTGAAGTAAACAACAACCACTATGGTCTGTAAATTTGAAAACTTTTGTCATGCATATTACTTTCCGAAACTAAAGAAAATGTAAAATTTGAAAATGCATATTTCACGTTAATCTAAAACTTAAAAAAGAAATGTTCCCAAGGTGATAATATTGATTTATAAAACGATAATAAATAATTAAATTTAAAGATTTATTTAATATTTTAGAAACTAGTTTTAGATTTCTTTATTTTATTGACAAACACAACTGTGTCTTCTAAACTTAAGGATTAAAATGAGTGTATGTTAAAAGAAATCGTGTGATGAAAAGAATGCATATGTTCACGAAGTTTATCCAAAAAGCCTACGTAACAACTTCAAGTTAAAATTAACTTATATATAAAATTAATTTATACAAATTCTCTCATATAATTTCTCTATAAAAGGAAATAAACTTCTCTATAAACTAAAAAGAGTTTATGTTTAAGCTTATTAATAATTTTTTTAGAAGCTAGACAGAGGTTGAACACACTAGCTTATGAAAAAGTACATTTCACTTTTTCTTTTTCCTAAGTGTTTATAGATAAGTATATTGGACCAAACTCTATAATTTATCCGATACGAATAGCATGAGGTTAGGAAAGAATCAAATTCGTGGCCTCACAAAAGAAATTTAAGAGAAAAATGAAAGACCCACTTACAGTGAGACCTGGAGATTGATGTGTTTGAGACGAAAAGATTGGATTTGAAGAGTTGGGTTGAAGATGTTCAAGCAACACTCTCTGTCTTTCAATTGCTTTCTCCATGTTTCAGCAACTCTTTCTCACTGACTGTGTTGCAGCAAAGTGAAACAGTTATATAAATTAAAATAATTTCTCTCTATAAACAAAATAAGAGAAGAGAAGAAATTGACTCCAAGAGCGGTCTTCATTGATTAAACTTATTTCTTCAGCACGTGATAAAATAAAAAGGTAAGTATATTATTTTTTATTAATTGAAATTAATTTATGTATCTTAAGTTAACTTGAAGAGTTAGAATGGAGATTTTTTTATATATAAAATTTAATTGCATTAAGTATTTTAATAATTTAAGAGAGATATTTTTTTATCCCACAATATGTGGTGGAAACATGCTGATTGCTGAGGAAATGCACTACCAAAGTTCCTCCGGGCAACGTGAATAACGAGACCACCGACCAAAATGAGCTTCTACAACGTGATTAACAAGAGTTGTTGAGCAGAAAAAACAAAAAATAGTTGGGTAGGCTAAAAACTCTAAAGAACAGAAAATTGAAAGCATGTAAATTTGATTATCATGTTTATTTTTTCTGGTTAAAATATTTTTTTAGTTTTCTGTAATTTGACTTATTTTATTGTTTTTTTTAGTATTTATAGTTTAAAATTGATATGTTTAATCCTATATTTATTTTTATTATTCATTTTAATCTTTATAGTTTGAGATATTTTTTTTAAATCTTTATATTTATCTCTTCAAAAAAAAAATTTAGTTTCTATTGTTAAATTTTTTTTAAGTCGTTTCTTTTGTTTAGTTCATTGCTCCCACATAAGATGGAAAAAGAAATTGATATACGTGTAGGATTGATCCTAAAATTTTATTAGAAGACTAACCATTCCTTAATTCAAAAGTAATCGATCAAGTGCATAAGCTCTGTGTCAATATGGATTGAGACATTATGAGAAAATTCACAAAGAGTAATTTTAAACAATTACTACCATTTATACGAGTAATAAAGTGTTTTTAACTCTCTTTATTGCTTGGTAATGTATTTTTATTACGATAAATGTCTTTCTTATCAATCTTTAGTAACATTTGAATCATTATATAATCTTGTTACTAGTTACATGAAGTCGAGTTATATCTCTAATTTGAATGTCAAAATATTTTTACAAGTAGTACCCACCAATGATGGATCTAGAAACTTTAGATAGTGAAAAAAATATTTATTCATATATTTGTAGTATTAAAATTTTTACATATAACTTTTAAAATCATAAATATATATCATAATTATTTTCTATAAGTTTTTATATTTACGATTATGGTTATGGATGAAAATAAACTAGGTCAAACTAAGTTATACCATAATTTAGTAGCCTAAAAATACATATCCTAAGTATAACTTATTTATCTGTCATAGATATTTTTTTTAATATTTGGTTAGAACTACAACCTTAAAAGTCTACTTTATTATAATTTAACACTAATAAAATATAAAAATAAATATGTTAAATTTTATAAAAATCAAGTTTAATTTATTTATGATATAAACATGTTTTTAATATCTAATATAAACTTTTAGATGATATTTTATTTAAAAACACATTTTATAATAAAAATTCTAAATAAAACATAAATCTTACAATCTTAACTATTTTGATTTTTTTAATCAACATATACAATAAATAGAAAGTACAAAAGGTAAACATGTATGTTGTAAATTTTATTTTATAAAAATTGATTTTTTTAATATATTACATTATATATGTGAAAATTAATATATATATATATATATATATATTATAATTTCGAAAGTTTGACAACCATTAAACAAATGGACATCTCTAAACCTAAGTTTTATACATATAATAATTTAAATATATATATATTTATTTATTTTATTAGAATATAACTTTTATTTTTTAAAATATACTATTTTTTATAAAAAAAATATGTATGCCTAAAATAATAGTGGGGGCAAGTGCCCCACTATTATGTATATAGATCCGGCCCTGCCACCCACTTAGGCTGAAGACATATCGAACCTATCATACCCTTTAGAGACTAGTTTGCTTATTTCACAATAAGTACATTTGGAACTCACCATAGGTTCATGTTAAATTTCCTATGGTCTCACTGACTAAAATAGATAGGGACAAGCAAATCCTTAGTGAAGAAAGTATAGGTTTCAAAATGCACACGTATGTTGCTTCAATTATGTAAGGAGATGCAAGCAATATGGGAGGAGAATGAGTGTCAACAAAAATGGGATAAGTAGGAGTTGGAAACCCTTCAGTGAGAAAATGTTGACGTGTCAATAGTTAGATGGTTCCTAAAACAATACCTAGATCCTTTCATATAGAAATGATCCCACTTGTCAACCAGATACCATTGAGTCTTTGCACAAAGCTAAGAGTACTCAACCAATGCAAACTCCAATAAGAACAAGAGAGATGCAATCATCTCGACAAATTGCAATCTCATCCTTTCACATGGAAATTGTTTTTGAAGAGTTCCAAAATTATCCTTTTATTGATGAGGTATCAAATGTATCTCTTCCTATAGTCCGGAAGAACTTGGGGTTGGAGAAGAATGATGAATCAACCTATCCAACTGATCATATAGATATATATGTTTCTCAGGTGAGCATGCTAACTAGTAGGGATGTGCCAAATACCCCCCACGTACATCAATCAAAGGAGGAATAATGAGGTGGTTCACCAAACTACCTCCCAAATCAATCAATTCCTTTAGGGCTTTAATCTTTAGCTTCAACACACTGTTCGCTACTAGCTAGCCACACCTTATGACCTCAACTGCTTTGATTAATAAAAATACTCATAATGTACACAATTTTGAAATGAAAATTGGTATTACATAGGTTGTCAAGGTGGGTTTCATGAGTACAAAATACCTTGTTTATTGTAAACTCTAATCTATTAGTAGATAAATCTCAAGTGTGACTTGTGGATTAGGATAGGTCATAGTCTAGATTGAAATTATAATACAACCTTTTCTAACCCTTATTTATTTATTTGATTTTAATTCTAACTTTGATTTTCTATATTCAAATTAAGTTGAATTTCTCTTTATATTTTTCTTTACTATACTATTCATAATGAAAGGTTTTTGAAGTGTGAAATTTTTTTATTATAACTCAATTTACCTCATCTTGAGTTACTAAAACCACTTAATTAATATTAATAAGAATTATGAAAAATGAGTAAAAAGCATAATCAAACCATACTATGAAAAGGGAAAATGAGAGAAGATCGCTCGAAAAATATGTGCTACTAATGATGATAAGATGAACTCTTACAAAAAATAAAGGGAAAGTTATGATAGCTAAAACTCAACACAATAACAACAAAACAAACTCAAGTCACAACTCCCCTTGAAAATTTAATCAAATAGCCTAAAATAGACTTCCTATAATCAATGTCTCCAACCATATTAGAGTTTAAGTACCCCCATCAAAGTGAGCTAATTATCACCAACAAAGCAAAGCCTTATTTTTGCAATACTATGAAGATACCTCAAAATTTATTTTACAATATTTCAATGCTTTCTACCTAAGTTTGACAGAAATCTACTAATTGTACCAATAACATGTGATGTATCTGGTCTTGTGCACACTATTATATACATCAAACTACCCAAAAAAATGCATAAGGAACTCATTACATATATAATTTCTTAGTTTCATTTAATGGACTATGTTTAGAACTTAGCTTAAAATGAGTAGCAAGATGAGTGCTCACCACCTTGGCCTTTTCCCTTTGGAATCTTTATAAAAATGTTTGAATATAGTGTTATTGTGACAACCAAAGCTTCTTTTCCTTTCTGTCACGCATGATTCTTATACTAAGAATCTATTTAGCAACTATTGTTTCCTTCATGGCAAATGACCCATCTAACTGCTTCTTTAACATGTCAATTTTGGAAACATTTTTCCTTACAATAAACATGTCATCAACATAAAATAACATGATAATGAAGTCATTGTCAGAAAATTTTCTAAGAAAAACATAATGGTCGAAAATAGTCCTCTTGTAGCCTTGTTCACACCTAATGAACTCAAACTTCTTATACCATTGTCTTAAAGCCTACTTCAAGCCATATAGCCTTGTTCTTAGCCTAGACACATAATGTTCCTTGCCTTCAATAAGAAAACCATCAAGTTGCTTCTATTGAATCCTACTTGATCTTGGTTCTAATAATTAAAAATTCTTAGTCTCAAATTTAGAAAAGAAGAGTACTTATGTATGTGATAATGTTTTTATTCAAGTGTTTCAACAAAAGATAATAAGACTAATCAAAAGGCTGTGTGATAATATATGTTCTTGAACAAAAGGAAAAGATTATTCTTATGACATCTTGAGAGAAAAAAATAATAATATGTCAAGGAATGATGAGTAGCACTAGTGACAATGTCTATCCCAAGCAATTGAATGACTATTCCAAATTGATGAACAAAAATCTTCAATTGAAACATTTCTTCTCAGAATACTTATCTTGAAGGTCTGGTTCAAAAGACTTGAAATGAAGACTTACTCAGAAGGTAACTCAGTTATAAAGACTAATAGATACAAGAAATTATAGTGATGTCAACATCAAACATAAAAAACAAAGAAATCACCAAAGGATCTCCATTTTGAGTGTCTATAAAGGGAAGACAATGGTTCCATTTTGAAGCAAGTAAGAACAAAGAAAGAGAAAAATCACTCAAGCTCAACAAGTTACGCTCTTTGTTGCTTCATCCTCTGATTTTTAAGAGAAATCCACTTCATATTTGTAATTTTGATTTGTAATAGAAAAAAGTGAGATATCTTCCTTAGTGAAAACTCCACAATAGGAGATTGACTTGTGATCTTTGCTTTCTACAAGAACACAAGAACCCTTTTTTTTCTTGTAAACATTTCCTAGCCAATACTGAGAGCACAATGATGTAGAAAGTAATAGAAAAATCATAATAGGTATTATGTGTAGTCTCATAGTAGGTGGTTGTGAGGTTTTCCTTCTAAATAAGTGGATGAGTGAAGTTTTTCAACAGGTGGCTAAGTGTTGTTACTAACAACAAGTGGTCGTGTAGCAGTTTTTATATCAATAGGTGGCTAAATTTGTTTAGCACCTGGCTATGGTTTTAGTGAAAAATCTCACAAGGTTGTGTAGGGATTAGATGTAACCTAGTTGGGGTGAACTAGTATAAATTTTGTGCCCATTCTCTCCTTCCTTGTCTTTTTATTTGTTTATTTAGCTTACTGCATTTACTATTATATCATCACATAATCTGAATCATAAACAAGTAAAGACATAAACTATTCCAATAAAATACACTTTGTATAAAAACTAACTTTACTCAGACTACTTTCTTTTTGAGAAACTAATTTAAAAATGAACAATTTTTAAAAGGAAACAATTCAACCCCTTTCTTGTATCATGACATTAACTTAAACTTCATGTAGATCTCTACCTCAAATCACCATGAAGGAAAGAAGTCTTCATATCCATTTGCTCTACCTTTAAATCAAGAGTAGTAGATAAACTCAACATAGTTCTAATGTATGTCATTTTCACCACAGGTGAGAATATCTCATTAAAATAAACACCTTTTCTTCGACTAAAGCCTTTCACCACTAATTTAGATTTATACCTTGGAGATGTAGATTACTCTCATGTTTCACTCTTTAGATTAACCTATTATCCAAGACCCTCTTGACCTTAGGCAATTTAACCAAATCAAAAGTGTGATTATCATGCAAGGATTACATATCATTCTTCAAGTATCCAACCACTTTTGCTTGTCTTCACTCTCCACAACCCAAACACAAACCTAAACACCAACCTAAACAACACCACCTTCTCCACCATCGAAAACAAAAGCCACACCCTCTCACCTTCAAACCACCATTCGTGACTCTTCATCTAATTTAGATGATAAGCTTTTATCCTTTTGTCTCTCACATCTTCAACCCATTTCATCTAACTCATCAACTACCCAAGCCAAGCCTCCCCAACCCCAACGGTCCAAAAAAAGGCACCTTGTTCATGGGCTAGTAGAGCCCAAGACGAAGAAGGAAAAAAGAAAAAATTCAAGCGTGTCATGAGTTTATCTAAAAAAAATGCAGGGGAGTAGAGAAAGAAAGATGTTAAATTGACCACTAAAGAAGCCAATATGCTCGAGTAAGCAATTTGTCTCTTTACTAATGTCGTAGCAACAATTGTTTATCCACCCTTATCTCTCCTAGTGAGTATGTGTCCAACACAAACAGGAGTATCTACTATTACCTAGAGTTTAGACCAACATAAACAACGTGTTTGTAGTTAAGGAGAGTATTCATTTTACTCAAGCTGAATAGTTTGATGTAGAGGAGAGTCCTTATCAAACCTAGACAAGAGAATGTAAGGTTAAGACTTTAGTTGATGAAGCATCTGTTGAAGCCACCCCAATAGTCCAACCTACATTATTTGAAGCATAATTTATAAGAGTAAAAGCAGTCTAGAAATATATTGAAGAGACTTGCAAATTGGTTGATGAACTTACTTAATTGTCACTTGAAGTCATTGTAATCAAGGCCATACCATTGAATATAAACACCTCCTTGGTGGTAGCAAACTAAAGACGGCCAAAGGACTTTACCTCTACTATGCCACCAAGTGAGAATATAGAGACATTGAGTGTTGTCTCTAAGGAGGATTCTAAAATGGAGCAATTGATGGAGGAGTAGACCATAGACGAAGGGGATGTAGACATTCTTGTCTATGATTCCATGAGAAGGTCACCCTACTACAACATGAAGAAGTAATTACATATTTGCTACTATGAGCAACCTATTACCATTCATCCTTACACTACTGAAGTTCAGCCCATTGACATGTATGGTTAGCATCATCTAGATGCATGCACTAAGGAGATCATCAATTAGTAGAGATATGAGTTTGAATAAGCCTATCATTTTTGTACTGCTATAAAGTTAAGTTATGAGGGAATCCCTTATAATTTTCCTTTCTTGATTGATTGATCCCAAAGATCGTGCTAGATTCAACCTTGGACCAAATTCTTCCAAGATGAGTCCAAACTCAAGGTTGTTCAAAACTCTGTCCACAAATGAAAGGAGAAGAAGGCCAACTGCTTTAAGAATGTAAGGTATATGAGTTATGCCAAATGCCATTAGTCTGATGTCTCGAATGCTAACAAAGAATATTCTCTCTTTGTGATGGATCGTTGCTTCCAATAGACTCCACCTCCTCTTGCTACTCTTACGTCTGCATGCAACATTTTCTACAATCCCACAATACATTATTTAATTCCTCCCCTTTCAACTTTCAATTTTTTGTACATTTACCAATATATATTATTTTTTTTATTCACATACTGCATCTATTTGTACCCTTGATATCTCATTTGAGCTTACCTAGCTACAGTTGTTCTTGATTACCTTTCCACACCATGGACACTAATTGTCAATAAGATTTTAGTTAAATAATTTAAAATAATTGATTATTCGGTTCTCGAGTGATTTCCAGAAATCATGAAGAACAAAATAATCGATTATCCTTTAAAATAATCGATTATCTAGTTTTGAAATTTTTATAAATATCTTTCACACTTTGAAACTTAATAACAGAGAATGAATTGAGAATCAACGAAAGAAAAACTATATTGTGAAGTCTTTGTGACCTTCTTGGAGTGTTTTCTTTGTGAAACCAAGAAGAAAAACATTTTGTGAAATGCCTTGAAAAAGATCATCATCATCACTACATTCTTGGGAGAGGAAGACTAAGATGCCTTATCTCCACCCAATGTGGTTTCCAGTGGTTGATCATTGGGATTTTCAGCAAGGACTTGTTTGTCATCACGCTCTGTTTCTACAGAATTTTCTTCTTTGTCAGCTGTTGCTGCATCATCTTTCAGTTTTGACAGGACCTTAGTCCATGCTGATGCTGCAGGCTTGTTCTCAAGAGATTTCAATACTTTTTGGGAGGATAATTCAAATGAAACCCTGTGGTTTATACTAATCTCACTCAGGCGATTATTGCTTGGATGTGGAGACATTTTGATCTCAGAAACCCAATGATTTGAAAGAAAACCAGTTTGACTTGTGGACCTTGCAGCATCTGGGGTCAAAGATCCAGAACCTTGGTTTGACTTTTGCTTTTCATAAGCAGATAGTTTATCTAAGTTGAGAAGCTTGGGAGGGTCTGTTCTTTGGAAATCAAGGATATGGGAGAAAGTGGCATTAAATTCAGAGTCAGGGAGTGGAGATGAGGTGCCGGAAGCTGAGATGGCAGATCTTGGTGATATCAGTTGACCAACAGGACTTCCGGGATGAAACTGATAGGATTGGAAGTCATAGTGAGATATTTGGAACCTCTGAAAGGTTTCACCGTTCCTATTGGGGTCTAGTAGCTGAGCAAATGGAACCTCGGGCGAAGAAGGCGTGGTCATGTGGACGGATTCGGGCGGTGGAGTGAAAGGAGCAGTGGAGGAAGCTGAGAAAACAGGTGGTGAGACTAATTGAGTTTCATGAGCATAAGGGCCAATGGCAAAGATTGAGGCAGGGCCACCAGGAGAGTACATGCTGGCAGACACACAAGTGTGAGATAATTTACCAACTGGTGATTGTGCAGTTGAAGGAGGTTCTGATTGAAAGAAAGATACAGGTGACGAAGGAGGCGCAACGAAGGGAAGTGTTATACTAGGCGCTTGAGTTGAACTAACAGCTGCAGCAGGATCAGCTCCATTGGGGATTGTTTCTGGAACAAGCACAGCATGCCCTATGCGCTTTCGGTTTTTCTGATATCCAAAACACCCAATTTTGCTCAACCAGTTTCCCCATCTTTTCTTCTGCAAGCAAAAGTAGCTGACTCTCACCACCTGTTTTCTCAGCTTCCTCCACTGCTCCTTTCACTCCACCGCCCGAATCCGTCCACATGACCACGCCTTCTTCGCCCGAGGTTCCATTTGCTCAGCTACTAGACCCCAATAGGAACGGTGAAACCTTTCAGAGGTTCCAAATATCTCACTATGACTTCCAATCCTATCAGTTTCATCCCGGAAGTCCTGTTGGTCAACTGATATCACCAAGATCTGCCATCTCAGCTTCCGGCACCTCATCTCCACTCCCTGACTCTGAATTTAATGCCACTTTCTCCCATATCCTTGATTTCCAAAGAACAGACCCTCCCAAGCTTCTCAACTTAGATAAACTATCTGCTTATGAAAAGCAAAAGTCAAACCAAGGTTCTGGATCTTTGACCCCAGATGCTGCAAGGTCCACAAGTCAAACTGGTTTATCCGTCAGAAATTTTCGACGGAATATTCTGTCGAAAATTTTTTGTCAAAAATTTTTGACGATTTATTTTTTCGACAGAAATTTCTGACAGAATTTTCCGTCAGAAAATTTATATCGGAAATTTTCGACGGATTTATATTTCCGTCAGAAATTTCCGACGAAAAATTTCTGACAGAAATTTTCGACGGAAAGATAAATCCGTCAGAAACTTTCAACAGAAATATCCATCGGAAAATTTCATCAAAAATTTTCGACAGATCCATATCTGTCAGAAATTTTCCGTCAAAAATTTACATTTTTCTTGTAAATTTTCTGTCAAAAATTTACATTTTTCTTGTAGTGTATTGTTGATCTGTATGTCGATTGATTTCATCCATAAATGTTATTGTAATGGTATGGTTCGAATTGAGTGACTTGAGTTAGGATTTATTAATTACTTTGAAGCATGTTGGGATGATTTTGTTAGCCTAGACAATTTGGTGGTTGCATGTTAGATTTCTGGTATGAAAATAATTGTGGATGATGCTTGTGTATATTGTGTTACATTTCATGTTAGTATTTGTTGGTTTTCAGGTGGCTTTGAGCCAATCTACAAGTGGAAAAATCACAATCGTGCCAGGTGGGCCTTCATGGCACCATGCATGGTTTAATCAGAGGATTTTTGTGTTGCTCATGTAGGGCGTAGGATTTGTGGTGCAAGCCGTGAAGACAGAAAATTGCCTCAAGTTGAAATGGTGTTGGGCATGGTTTGAATGGTGTCAAGCGTGAGATAAGAGAATTGACTTTATCTGAATTGGTGTTGAAGGCTAAAGGAATGGTGTTAAGCCTACGGAGAAAGATTCATCTTTGAAAGATTTGCTTGGAATGGGGCTGAGTGTGGGACTTTGTCACACTAAGTGTGAGGGCTCAGGCATTCCCTACCTCATCCACACGCCGGACGCGGGTTAAATGGTGTCAGGCATAGGCAAGGTAGAGAGTTTCTTACCTTAATGGCACAGGTTGTTAAGTCAGACGAAGTAATTCCCAGAAAAGTTTTGAATATGAAAAATATAATATATATTGTTATTACTAAACCGTGTAGTAGTGTTTCAGATATGTATAAGAGCAGGGTCGAGCAAAACAAGGATCTGACAAGACAAGTCAAACAATAGAAGAATCATGGCTTGTGTATCAATCAATAATGAACACCAAACGAAGATACGCCAAGAATAATCCAGAGCGAAATAGAAGAATTTAGAAACAAGAACAAAACAAGAACCAAGACAAGGTGGACTCAAGCACCAAACAAACTTCGAACGAAACTCAATGGTCAATCATACATATTCAAACCAACAAAGCAATCATCAGTCGTTGGATAGTTCGAGACGAAGAAGCATTTCAGACGGAATAAAAATTATTCATCCTCAAGACTGATTAGACGAAATGAAAAAGTCAAAATCTAAATCTTAGACGGAGACTCAATTTCCCAAACGCAAAAGAAGCACGATAAAAAACGTCTAGGATCCACTAGTCACAACAAAGAAGATCATACAACATCTTCAATTATAAGAAAAGCGCACAAGGTTATTGAAGATACGAAAAGAAGGGAAAAAAATGCAAGAGTGCGAATCCACAAGTCAAAAATGCATGTGTCAGGGTAAGTATACCTACTTTTCAGAAAAGCAACGCCTTCATAGCTATAATGACAGAAAAAGGACAAATATACCTAGGGCATGATTGAAGTCATAAATAAAAGGAGACAAATCATACAAAAGACTTCACGTGAGACAAACTGAGCAAGCAAAGCATTTAATACAAAATCAAATGCATTAAATGAAGAAGATTTGTGTAGCCATGAACAAACGGTTATCTGCACCAACAGAAAGCTCCGCCTCAACGGACACATTCAAATTCAAATAACGAGCAGATCCAACACAAGGCTATAAATATCAAGACCTGGAAAGATATAAAGAAGAAGAGAAAGCAACAAACAATATAAGCCAAAACAAGCTTCAAAAACAAACTTACCTCTCTTCTTGTGAAAAAGTTGAATATCTGTGTGAAACTAAGATAACTTATCTTAGGGAGTGTAGAAGTTAGTTTATCCTCTCTATGAGAATTACATACACACTTTAAACACATTCTTGTAAAACTAAGGTTGAAAACCTTAGTGAGTGTAGAAACCAATTTATCCTCTCTGCGAGAGTCATATACACACTCAAAACATCTATCATTTGTAAAGACTGAAGAGGCTAGCAAAAGAATACTTGTGGAACCAGAAGTGATTTAAGAATACTAGCGTCAGCAAGTGAAATTGATAAACTAGGAGTGGTTAAGAATACTTGGGTAACTAGAAGTGGTTTAAAACTACTAGCGTCATCAAGTGAGGTTGACGAACCAGAAGTGGTTGATAATATTTGTAATTCGTTGTGATTAGTGGAACCCTTCAGTTGAAGGAGACTGGACGTAGCTCAGAATGAGTGAACCAGTACCAAACACTTTGCACTATTATTTGACTTAGAAACGCCGTTTCCCTTATATTGACTCATCACTTTGAAAAAATTTGTCTACTGCTATCTATCTTCTAAATAATATTTAGACGAACTCATATTTGTTTGATTGAGAAAATCATTTTTGAATAGACGATAGAACTTCGGACACATAGTTCCTTTTAATTAACCTTGCACTTTTCTCACGCAGCTGAAACATTATTTTCTAACAGAAAATAGCAGCTTTGCGAAAACGTTTTTAAAATCCTTCATACACACACACATTCAACCCCCCTTCTGTGTGTTTTTCACTAAACTTCATAGGTGCAAGGTGTAAGGCATCGAGCATGGCTTACTTTGAAAAATCTTGTTTGATTTATGATATAGAGAACATAAATGGGTTAGGTACATTGCATGTTGTATATTGAGTGGTGATATTATGTGTGTGTGTGGATGAATTTAACTATTGAAATTGTTGAGGTGTGATGTTGAGAATGCTTTAGGCATTTAGGCATGTTGTGTTGGTACATTATTGAGGTGTAATGCTAAGAATGCTTTAAGCATTTTGACATGTTATGTTGATATATTGTTGAGGTGTGATGTTGAGAATATTTTAGGCATTTAGGCAAGTTGTGTTGAAATTGTTGAGGTGTGCTAAGAATATTTTAGACATTTAGACATGTTGTGTTGAAATTGTTTAAGTTTGATGTTGAGAATGCTTTAGGCATTCAGGCATGTTGTGTTGATACATTGTTGAGGTGTAATGTTAATAATGCTTTAGACATTTAGGCATGTTGTGCTAATACACTATTGAGTTGTGATGCTGAGAATGCTACTAACATTTAGGCATGTTGATTGACTTAAGATTAAAGAAAAGGTTATTTTCGAAAGTTGGATATCTCATTGTTTGGATATTGGTGTGGTGCTCTATGAGTCCGCCAATTGTTGAAAAACCCTTAATGAAATCAAAGAAACTCACTCCTCGATTTAATGGTCCTTACCAAATTCTATAAAAAAAAATAGGTCCTATTGCTTACCAAATTTCTTTACCTCCATTTCTTTCTAATCTTCACAATGTCTTTTATGTGTCTCAGTTAAGAAAATATATTTATGACCTTTCTCATATAATAATGTCTTATACAGTACAATTAAAGGATAACCTTACATTTGAAATAATATCTGTACAGATTGCAGACAAAAGGATCAAAGATTTGAGGGTAGACAGATTCTACTGGTAAAGGTTATATGGAATGATGTAACAGTTAAATGCTACGTGAGAATTGGAAAAATTAAGGAAAATTATTCTTATTTGCTTTAGTCAATATACGACGTTTGCACTGATAAAAGAAGACAATTTTTTAAAACTCTAAAAGACTTATTAAAATGAACATATCATATGAACACATCTCTTTTTACTTTGAATAGATAAAAATATATATTCTAAGAAAACATATTCGTCTAAAATTGAAAATGACTAAATCTAATGTGCTTAAAATTTTCTTTTTAAAAATGTGTTTATCATCATCAAAAAATAGGAAATTGTTAAGTCCAAAAAAGATCTTAAGCCTCTCAAGCCTTAAGTTTTAATGATAACAAATATAGACATTTCATAAGAGAAGTTTTTCAAATCAAACTTTAACAAATAGAGATAAAACGATATATTAAAACAATTAGTTATTAGAACATTAATTCTCACAAACGAACCACTTTAAATGTTTTGTATTTATATCATTTATGATGTTTGATAATAAAATCACATTTGTTTACATGATTCCTTAACAGATTGAATGGAAAAAGTTTCTGGTACCCATAATTCACTAAAGGAACTAAATGCATGTTTTATGTAAAAAAAAAAAAAAAAAAAAAGCTAGCATATCTTGTAAGGCACAAAAAATTACAGAAAAAGTTACTTCAGCCTAACACATGCATGAATCCTCTATTTTAGTATATAAAAGGTGATAAGTAACTTATTTGATTACTTAAAAAGTGACAATTTGGTTAAATGCATTTAATACAAATATTTAATATATCAACGAACACTTCTCCCTATGTTAGACAATTCTTTTTATGTCGAACGAAGATAAAAACAAATGAAACAAGCCTATAAAAGACGCTTAAGGATTTGTAATAGTTATTTTCATAAAACACTTATATAAAGAAAATTGAAGATTAAAATAAAAATAGAAATATTGAGACATAAATAGAAAAGATACATAGCAGTCAGCCATAAACATAAACCAGGCCTGCCCTATCTTCTTCTTCCCCATCTTCAACACAAACCCAGACAAGGAAAAGAGGGAAACCATAACCAAAGTCACCAAATCATACCTACAAAGATCGCCACTGGCCACTAC